TCTCACTGGCTTGGTCTCCATCCCCACGGGGCCTCATGATTCTGCAAGAATTTAAGTCACAAAAGTGAGCCTAGCTCACGACCTAAGCCGGAGCGGCTGGAATTAAAGGCTTGGCATGCAGAGTGATCTGATTTTAAACAACGACCATTAAAGAGATGTGGAATCCTCAGTAGTTGGTTGCTGTGAGGAAAAATAAAACAACTCAAGATCCAGAGCTGAAAGGAAACTTAGAAGATTGTGTCACGCTGTGTCTCCGGGACTTGAATTTACTTGAAGCCCTGAATGGATTTTGAGCATCTTACAGGACAGGTGCTCTTCTTACAGTCGGTATACCTAAGATGTGAAACAGGTTGTGTTGGTTGGGTTTTGTCAGCTTGACACCAATTAGAGTCATCTGGGAAGAGGGAACGTGAGTTGAGAAAAACACCTTCTTCAGATTATCCTTTCTCTAAATCTGTGTGTCATTTTCTTGATGGGCAATCGGTGTGGCAGGGCCCAGCCTACTGGGAGCAATGCTACCCCTAGGCAAGCCCAGGCAATATAAAAAAGCATGCTGAGCAAACTAGTAAGCAGAGTTCTTCTGTGGACTATGCACCAGTTCCTGCCTTGACTTCCTGCCCTGACCTCTCTCAGTGATGGATTGTAACATGGAAGCGTAAGATGAAATAAGCCCTTTCCTCCTCGTGTTGCTTTAGTCATGGTGTTCATCATAGCAACAGAAGGCAAACTAGAACATAAGGCGTGTCTTTGTCCCAATTGCCTTGACTGCCCACTGTATCCAGGAAAACTTTGTTTCTGTTAGGCTCCTTGACTGGCAACAGCCAAGCAGTTTGTATTATACCATCCACTGGGATCCAGAGAAGCAACTTCTCAGAAGCAAGCTGGGTGTCTCCTCAAGACGTTTGCTTTCGTTTTTGTGCATAGCCATTCTGTCAAAGTTCTGCTGTGTTCTGCTAACCCTTCAAAACTTCAAAACATCAGAGTGGTCAGATGAGTGGGTTTGGATTAGTCCAGTTTTAGAAGTGTTTGTGGCCACTCCACCCATCCTAGTGGAGGATGTTCCAGACCACAGCTGCAGAAAAGGGGAAACGAGCCTCCTTGTGAGGGAAGCAAGGCTTTATGAAAGTGAGCAAAATAGGAAATGAGGATGGCGAGGACGGGGCACCATAATCTACTTCAGACTTTAACTTTAGTGAAGGGGAAGAATTTTTTTAAGGGACGTTAATTTCTTCTTAGTGAATTAGTTAGAGAAAAATTCACATTTGTGAGGCTGGGGAATCTCTTTTTCCCTCTTTCGATTTATGGTACAAACTCTGGAATATCATTACTTTATGCAGGGGTATCTACATAATGAAACATCACTTTGTGTCCCATAAATTTGTAGAATTTATATGTCAACAAAAACCAAAATGATAGAAAAATAAATAGAAGACATATTTCCTGCTTGAAATAGCCCATAACCCTTGAACTAATTTAAAGTCGACCGTGACTCACTTTTCCGAGACTTTTGGGAACAATAATGAAAGGAAAGAGATTCTAGGAGGGTTCTGAGGGACGAGTGATGAAGTGATTAATACTGGGGGAATTTCTCCAAGTCTGGGGAAGCCCGACTGCATTAGAACATTGTTGGGCTCTGAAGGGGTCACCAGCTTGACCTGGCTTGCCTGGGACAGCCTTCATTTGGCTGTCCCAAGAGCACAGTGAGAATGGGAAAGAAGCCGACTGCCAGTCATCACCACTCCCCCTTTGACATCTCAGGGGGTCAAAAATGGAGATGCAAATGAAAGAAACAACTGTGGTCTCTACTTACCTGAGAGGGTAAGGTTGATAATCACCATCATTATCATCACATCCCATGACATGCCCTGGGTGTTTTCCTTTGGTTTTATATGTGGGTGGGTTGTTGCTTCTGAAAGTCTGCTCCTGTGTAATGATTATTCTCTCTCCTTCCTGTCTCAGAACAAAGTCAAGCCTTTTTCCAGTTACAGGCCAGCTGTTCTGTTTCTAGTAGTTGCTACCCAGGAGGATTTCCCCTCTAGGAAACACTTATCAATGTCTAGAGAGAGGTCTCCTTGCCTCAGAGAGGAGAGGTTGGTGTCCTATTGCCATCAAGCGGGTGTACATCAAGGATGGGTGCCAGTGAGCATCTTTCAGAGCACAGTTCAACAACCTACCCACCTTTCACAGGAAAGAATTACCTCACTCCAGTGTTCAATGGTCCAAAGATAGGGAAAGATCATGACTTGCTTTCTTTCTCTCCATGAAGTGATGTGTGGAAGTTGACCAGGGTCTAAGCCATTCTATTTTGTATGTGTGTTCTGAGCATGTCGCTTACATGGAGAGATGCAGGTAGCTTTAGTTAGGTCTCTGGGGCTTAGCCGTGTTCTTACACATAGATTTTTCTGGGATTATCTTGCTGTAATAACATAAAGATAAAACTTTACTCTCTTCCAACTGCAAACCCCTGTCAATGTAGCATTAACCATTTTTGTATATACACTCTTCCTGTAAGTATGAAGCATGCTCACATTTCCTGTGTTTAACAAATACTAAATAAAAACAAAGTTCAAAGCCTTGTCTATGCAAGGTAGAGTGGTGGATACCTGAAATACAACCACTTGTGGGGCAGAGGCAGGACGATTGTCCAAGGCAAGTTGTGGCTATATACCAAGACTCTGTTTCAAAAAAAAAAAAAAAAGGTAAAGAAAATGAAAAGGTTCATCATCTTCCAGGTGAGACAATCACTTCTAATACAGCAGCAGCCTCTTCTTTCCCTTGGCGCTGGGTTATAGTCATGGCCGATAGCTCAGCAGTAGGCTGTAATAGGCTTTGACTCAATAACCAATGACATCAAGAATTAGAGATCAGGGCAGCAGCGAGATGGCTTAGCAGGTAAAGGCATTTGCTGCCACGTATAATGATTTAAGCTTGGTCCTTGGTACTCACAAGCGAGAACTGACTCCCACAAGTTGCCTCCTGACCTCCACATGAGAGCTGTGACATGATCATGCCTGGGCACACACACAAACACATGATACATAAATAGGTGCTAAAAACATGAACATGAGGATGGTGACATCCTCCTAAAGGACCCTCCAGTCCAGAAGCAGGGGTGATATTTTCTTTCGCTTGCTCCAAGATCAAAGGGCCATAGGATAGCACAAGAGTTTTCTGTCTGGTAATAGAGGCCTTGGGGACTTTACAGGATCAGTGAGTGTGAGATTTTGCTCTGTGCCCTCCAGATGTGGCTCTTCATCTTTCCTGGACGTGCCCTGAGCCACCTGATACCATCTAACGCGCTGGTTTGTGTTGGATTTATCTGCACTGTTAACTTGTTTCTGTCAGTTGCCAGAGGACCTTGCTTGTTACTCTGCTGAAGTACCTCGGTAATGCTGTGGCTAAGTGTCGCACCAACATGGCACTAGCAGGCTCTGTCACAAAAGGGGCAGTCAACGCAATTGTCAGTTAACAATGCCATATCCGATTTTTCCAACCCCTTCCCCTTCCCTCCTTTGCTGTCCATTCTTTCGCCATTTAGGATGCTCTGCTTGTTAAAATCAGGTGAAACCCAGTTTCGGGGTCTTATACTCAAATTCCCTTTCTCCCTTAAAGCTATAGCTAAGCCCCATGTGCCTAACAATAGATAACTGAAAATACAAGACATGTCAAAATAATCAGAACACAGGGAGAACAGGTAAGAATTGATGCAGGTGGTTTAGATATCAATATATCCTGTGGGAAGTGTCAGGATTTTCAGTCAGGGGTTACATAGAAAATATCTGTGGCTCTTGTTTCTGCCTCCTGTTTCCCCGTAGGCACACTGGGAGTTCCGGTGAACACACCAGGGTGTCTGTCTTTTTAACCTGGGCGCTGGAGACTCAAACTCAGTTCCTCATCTGTGCTCGAGAAGTGCTTTATCCAATGAACTGTGTCTTCAGCAGATTTCCCCAAGATGGGTGTCACTATAGAGCCTGGGCTGGTCTCAAACTTGTAATCATCCTGAGTGCTGATACTCTAGGCAAGAGCTACTTTGCTTGAATACACGTCAAAGCTAGCGGTTTTTTATTTACCTAGAAAAGATTATCCAAGGTGGGACTGAGATGCCGATGTAATTGTTTTTATCTGTGCCTTGCATGAGTAGAAATTTGTCACTGTCCATGAGGCTGGGTCTCAGAGATCAATCATTATTATCCCAATTCTGCTGTCTCACAGAAACCCCATGAACCAAGGAGAGTTGCAGTGCCTGTAGAGACCAGCAGAGGGCTCCAGGTCCCCTGGGACTGGAGTTACAGACTGTTGTGAGCTGCCATGTGGGTGCTGGGAATTGAACTCTGGGCCCTCTGGAATAGTGGCAAGTGCTCTTAATCACTTAGCCCCTTTCATTTCAAAGTTACCATTCAAAAAGACACTGGGTTTCATCGTGTCTTTTTCATACACATCATTCTAATTCATCTCCCTCTCTCAGTACCCTCCCCCATGCTCCTAGACCCTGACTGAATGGAACTTTATCTTTTAAGAATAAATGAGTTTTGATCTTCAGGCAGATGAGAGCACTGGGGAGTGTTCAGACATGGCAGCCACAGCAGAGCCACCGGTTCCTTTAGCATAGTAGGAAATACAGACTTTAAAAGCAGGAAGGCGATAATAGCCTAATACTCTAAAAATTAGATATAACGCATCTTTTAGCTCCCTTCCTCCATGCCTCAATTCTTTAAAAACAAAACAATGTTTTGCGTTTGTGTGTGTGTGTGTGTGTGTGTGTGTGTGTGTGTGTGTGTACATGCCATAGTGCATGTGAAGAGTTTCTGGGGTCACACTCAGGCTGTCAGGCTTCGTGGCAAGCCCCTTTACCCAGTGAACCACACTGATGGCCCCTTGTGGCTTGATGTTAAACTTGCTCCTGGTTTAGGGTTTGTGCCCATTTCTGCAGCAGCTAGCTTTTTTATAAACAGGGTTTTTCTTGTTGCCTGGCTCTCATCTCCCTCTTCTCTTCCACTTAGACCTCAGAACCTTGGATCGACTTCCAGCACCGCAGCTGAGGGATGGGAGGGGTCTGCTTCCAGATGCTGTTTCCTCACATCGAAGATGCTCTGGTGAGGTGGAGGGCACCAAGCAGGTCTGAGGTTCCTGCGACAGAATACACAGCCATCCACGGCCCTGCCTGTCACTTGCCTTCCTTACCGAATCCCTTCTGTGGTGGTAGTAGGGGAGACACTGGGAGGATCGGCCTTCCTTCTGCTCCTTTCTAGTAGAAATCAATAGGCCTCCCACAATAGACAGGCCCCAGGCACTCATGAACACAGAAAAGCACTCAACCATGCCGAAGTATCCGAATCTGTCTGCAGCAGAAGGATTTGTGCCAGTGAATAAACAAAACAGAAAGACCAATACTATGTAGTCCTTTTGAGTTACAGTCAGTGCCCTTTTGTCCATCTGAAACTAAAGACACGGGGGAATCTGTTGATGTATGTGAGGGCAAGTGAGGGACACTTAGAGACTGGGCCACAGCAGTGTTTTCTATAACAAACCATGATCCTGCACTGTTTTCTGTGGAAGCTTCTGGAACAGCTGTGGGCGCTTGGCAGGGCTTAACACATAGGTTTTATGGCAGCTGTTTTGTTCTGTCCAAACTGCTTCTTGCCTAACCCTTCCCCTGACTTCAGGCGACATTCTTTCTCTCTCAGGAAGAGCAAATGCTTGTATTAAAGGGCGCCATCTATTCTCTGTCTCTCTCTCTTTTTGCATTAATGTGTTCACACATGCATGTGTCTTCCCATGTCTCATACACATGTGCATGTGTGTGGAAAAAGGTTAATGTCTGGTATCTTCCCGGATAGCTCTCCAACTTACACCTTTAGGCAGTTTCCAACTTGAAGCCAGAGCTCACCAGTTCCCTAGTCCGTGCAGGGGATCCAGTCTTACCTCCTGAGTGCTGGCATGCCAGGTGTGAGTTCACGGAGGTGCTGGGCATCCAAACGCTGGTCCTCACACTGGCACGGCAAGTGCTGTACTCACGGAGCCATTTCCCCAGCCCAAACCCACCTTTGGAAAGGCATTTCTAGTATGGTATTACAAACAAATGCTGGGCGTGGATGTCGCAACCTTGGTATCTCGCTTGTCTAGCGTGATGAGGCCTGGGATCAATCACTAGCACCACATGAACCAGGCGTGGTGGTCCACGTATGCCTGCAATCCCAGGAGTTTAAGGTCATCTTCAGCCATGTATTAAGTTTAGAGCCAGCTACAGGAGATCAGCATGTTTCTCTCTCTCTCTCTCTCCAAAAAAAAAAAAAAGCATCCAGGTGTGGTGTGTGGTACACTCTTGCTGTTACCCCAACACTATGAAGACTAAAACAGGCAGGTTGTTAGTTAAGAACCAGCCTGGACCACTCCTTCTCAAAATGGATAACTGAAAATACTAATTATGTATTTATTTAAGGGGTACAATATGATTTTGCTATATGGATTCACTGTGGAGGAGTAAATTAGCATATTTATCACCTCACCTAAACGTGTCTGTGTGTGTGTCATAAGAACGCTGAAATCTATTCCAGCTGCTGGGAATGTCACTTGGTGGGAGAACGCTTGCTTGGCATGTCTGTGGTCATGGGATTAGTCTCCAGAATCATAAAATAAAGTCTGTCCTTTTCGCAACAGAAAAATAGATAATACTTTTTTTTTTTTTTTGCACGTGTATAGATGTGTGTACGTGTGTGTGTGAATACATGTGGAGGTCAGAGGTTGACTTTAGCCTTCCTTCATCTCTTTCTGTTTGGTGCAGGGAGGGGCGGGGGAGGGGAGTCGCTCATCCATCCTGGAGTTCGCCAGTTTCGGCTGGTCTCACGAGAGCTTGCCGCGGGGAATTTCTTTTCTCTGCGTCCTGAGTGCTGGGATCGCAGGTGACTGCTACTGCCCGGCTTCCACGTGGGTTCTGAGGGTCTCAACTTGGGTCCTCACAGGCGTCCTTGTTCTCTGCTTTATCTGACAAGTTCACTTCCCTCAAACCTAGCAGCCGTCCTCCCGCGTTTGTCTCCTGAGCGCCGAGAGCTTTCTTGGGCGCCACCATTCCCAGCTACAAGACATTCTTCTTAGCTGTGGCTGCCATGCTTAGCGGTAGGTCAGCAAAACCTACTCCCTGTTATTATATTCTCTGTTTCTATGAGACTGTCTGTTCAAAAATCTACATAAGGGCCAGGGAGATGGCTTGGCGGTCAAGGCATTGCTGACAAGCCTAGTAACCCAGGTTCAACCACCGGAACCCACAAGGTAGAAGGAGAGAGCCAGTTCACGGAGATCGCCCCCTGACAGCCCCATGCATGTTATGGTATGTGCACACACATACGCTACACTACAAGCACACGGACAAGTGAAAATGTAAAAAAATTCTACCTAAAAGGGAGACCATACATTGTCTCTCCGTGCTTGACTTCATTTGCTTAATATAAGGTCCTCTGTCCCACCCATGTGGTCACAGATGACAGTGTTGCCTTCTCCCTAAGGGTTGCATGGTATTGTCCTATATGTAGCTAACACATTTGTTTCATTAGTTGATTAAGGGACACTTAGATTGCTTCCATGGCTTGGTGATTGTAACTGATGTTGCAATGAGCACCTGGTCGCTCTATCTTGTCAACACACCAATTCTGGCTCCTTTGGATATACAGTCTCCCCGGCCACCATCTTCTGAGTGCTAGGACTACATGAGTGCACCTCTTGATTCGAGCATCCCATTCAGAAATTTCACCCTTCAGCTACTCATAGTCACGTGACCACACACAGCAGAAAGGGAGTTTTCTACTTCAGTTGAAGCTATTGCTCTCCTAAATAGAATTTGCTTCTATTACCAAGAAAGAAGGAGAGATGGACGATGGTGGAAACCTCCTGCTATTCATTCAAATCCATTCTCATTTTCTTCCTTGGCACATGATTGCTTAACTAATGGTAATAAGATAGGTAAGTAAGCAGATAGGTGGGAAGATAAAATAGACAGGCAGGAGAGAGAGGGAGAGAGTACCTGTCCAAATTCTGGTCATTAGAGTGTGGATAGAAGTTAGCATGGGTGTGATAGTTTGAATGAAAATGGCCCCCATAGACTCATGTATTGAAATTCTTGGTCCCCAGGGAGTAACACTGTTTGAAAAGAATTAAAAGGGTTAGAAGGTGTGGCCTTATTGGAGGAAGTATGTCACTGGGGGTGGGTTCATGTCAAGCCTATGCCAAGTCCCGAATCCCTGCCTATGAATCATGATGTAGCTTCTGGCTACCATCCCAGCACCGTGATGCCTGCCATGACAAAAATGGACTAAGTCTGTAAAACTGCAAGCAAGCCCCACTTAATTTTTTTAATGATTTGCCTTGTGTTTCTTCACAGCAATAGAGTAGTGACTGAGATAATGGACAACATTGCCTCATTGAGTTTACAGAAAATCTTCTAGGCTAATGATTGCCAATTATTCTTATGATTATAAGAATTCAGACATTCAGCTAGGAGGATGCATTTAAGGAAAATTCCTTAGTGATTGAAGGGAATCAAGATCAAACAGAAACTGATCTTCTACATGGAAAAAAAATCAGTCTAAATTCATACTTCACATTGTCCATAAATGCCAGACAGATCAAAGATATGAATGTCATAAAAGACAGTTTCAAAATGTAAAATAATAATAAAATAAAATGAAAATAATAACCCTTGTGCATGAGTTGGGGAAATGGCTTAGTAGATAAAGCTCTTTCGATGGAAGTGTGACCATAGTTGGGGTCCCCAGAACCAAAATGAGAAAGCCAGATGCAACGGTGTGCCTCTGTAATCCCAGCATTCCCTCAGAGAGATGGACACCAATGGGAGGTAGAGACAGGAGCATCTTTGAAAGTTCATGAGCCAAGTTGTCAGCAGACTTGGCAATCTCATAAGCCTTGACCATGCGGTAATGGTTTTGAAGGCACGAAAAATGGAAGACTGAGGAGTCATGGAGATAGCGAAGGCCAGGCAATGTGTAGCAGGGGCAGAGTCTCTGTGGAGGGGTCTTGGGAAGCCATGATGCGAAAATGGGAGTATGGCTACCCAAGGAGCCCAGCCAATTTTGTTACATGCTCCAGGTGATGGACACGGAGCAGTATGACTTAATGTTGGCTTTGCTGGTGTTTTTGTTTGGGTTTTATTTTTGTTTTATATATAATCACTCCTTGCTGTTCTCCAGTTCTTTCATATTAAAATAAAAATGCTTATCCTGTGCCTTTATAAGTTGAAAGCATTTATCTAGTTTTTGTTTTATAGGGGTTCACCATTAAGAGACTAGATTTTTTTTAAGTGTGGGAATTTTTAAAGACTATGAATATAAAAACTGCATTGTATTTTATGTTATAAGATAAACATGAGGCCTTGTGAACAAAGGGTAGAAGGTTATGGCTTCAGGTGACATGTTGGACGTCCAGTTGACAAAGAGTGGAGATATGACTGCTGGTTCTAAACACAACCTGGATCACTGAGAAGGTGTCCACGGGAAACTGTCCAAATTAGGTTAGTCTGCGGGTAAGCCTAGGAGGGGTTTTCTTAAGTGGGTTAATTGAGATGGGAAGAAGGACTCTTGAGTGTGGGAGTCATCACCTGGTGTGCTCTAGACTGAATGAAAAGGGAAGAGCGAGCTGAGTGCTGAGAAGGACACACTGACTCAGTGCGATCTGCCTTTGATTGTGGATGTAATGTTCCTAACTGCTTGGAGTTCATGCCCTCTTAACTTCCTCTCCTTGAAGGACTATAATATGGAGTGTGAACCAAATATAGCCTTTCTCCCTTAATTTCCTTTGTCGGGGTATTTTATCACAGGAATGGGAAGCAAAATGAAAACCCCTGAATACTGTTAACTCATTCACGGAAAGAATAAAGATCCGACCATGTAGGACCCAAGCAAGTTCTCTGTTCTAGCACCTGACAAAGTTGGCCTCAAAATAATATTAGTCAGGAACTATAAAGAAGGCTGCTTCATACTAATTAAGAGAACAGTCCATGAAGAGGACATTACAATGAAATGCATGTCAAGCATAGGTGTGCCTGATTTTATAAAACACGTGTCACAGACCTAAAGACACTGATCAACACCAGCACATTAATAGTGGGTGATGTCAATATCATACTCTCAGCAATAGACAGATCATCCTGAGCCCCCCCAAAAAACAAACCACAGAATCATCAGAGTTAAATGATATCGTAGATCAAACAGCTCTAACAGAGCTCTATAGAACGCTCTATTCAAACACTTCAGAATAGACCTTTTCCCCCCCTCAACAGACAATGGATCTTTCTTTAAAAGAAGTTTATATAATAGAACACAAAGCAAATACAGGAAAATTAATGTGATGCCTTGTATCAAATATAACCACACTGGTAGGCAACTAGAAATCCAGGAGAAACTATAGAACACACAAAAATGCATGGAGGACTGATAATAGGGTCCGTGAGTAAAGGGACTTGCACATAGGCCTGGCAACCTGAGTTTGAGTCCTGGATCCACCAAGGGGTGAGAAAATACTAACACCTAAGAACAGTATCCTGGTCTACACACACACACACACACACACACACACACATGCACCTGCATTCATTCACGTGCAAGCCTTGGGAATAGACCAGTAAACATCATTCCTCCAGAGCCTCTGCTATAGTCTCTGCCTTCAGGTTCCTGTCTGAATCCCTGCCCCGGCTTTCCTTTATTATGGGTTGTAATCAGGATGTGTAAACTAAATAAGCCCTTTACTTCTTTGCTACTTATTTATATGTATGAGTGTTTTGCCTGCATGTATGTATAAGCGCCACTCCGTGCATGGTGTGTTCAGAGGTCAGGACCCCTGGAACTGGAGTTATAGATGGTTGTGAGCCACCATATGAACCTAGGTCCTCTGCAAGAGCAACACATGCTCATAATCGATGAGCCATCTAAACAGCCCCATTCTTACCTGGCTTTCAGTAAGTGCTGTATCTTTTTTCTGGTCTTATCTCAGGTGCCCAACAAAAAGGAAGCTTAACTCTTTGCAATCAAACATCACTTGTTTGTTTGGTTTTTTTGTTGTTGTTGTTTGTTTTGTAGGAGGATATAAAGGGGTTGAGTGACACATCACAGTATCCTTACATGTTAATTACTTCTGTTGCTGTGAAGAACCACCTTGACCAAGGCGATTTATAAAAGAAATCATTTAATTAGGGGCTTGCTTACAGTTTCAGAGGGCTAGTCCATGACCATCATGGCAAGGAACATAGCAG